ACTCCAAGAACGCCATTCTGTGCTTCTTTGCACGTACTTTAGGATTTGTTTAACATTCGTTGTCAATGTCGATACCTCCCACCCATATGGCCGATCAGCACGGTTTGGCTATGTATGGTGCGAAAAGAAGTTCAACATACATACATAACAGTTGATATACACTGTTCTCATAAACGTTCTTAATTAGCCACATAGGCACAACAGTTATAAAGGGTGGATAGGGATCAAAATCATATGGAGAGGCAGATGAGAGTGGGTTGTGGTGCTTGGAAAACTGAACTCAATAATGAAAGTAAATTAATATATACAAAGACAAAGATCCCCCGTATAGCCTTAACAGACTGTAGGGGCAAGTGCTGTTAGTGAACACCTATAAAGGCCAGCACAGCACTTGAGGGGGTGGGTGGCCAGCACCACGCCCGACCGCCTTTGTCTCCCCAGGGCAATGTTTACACACTGCACCAAGTACTCATTTGAGGCTGAGTCGACCAAGGGGAGTCCCAGAACCGGTTCAGATAATCGTCACTGGTGTTGGCCGTGAGCGGGAATCGAACTCGGGGGTGTGTCAGGTTCGTAGCGCATCGCACTGACCGCTACACTGCCACTCCCCACTATATACACACACAAATACCTGCAGACTCGAAATCGGTAGTTTCCCTCTGATGCAGGACACAAAACAATAGTTATGGGGCTGTACCTAGCAGTGCACAACACATTACAGTGTCACTGGCTTTGATACAAAACATGTGCAACTCTTTCCAGCAAGGCAATGAGTTTGTGGTTATAATGAAAACGGGTTTTTAAAAATATTTTTTATGACTTTATCTCTCGTGAATTTTCACGCGTTAGGTGGAGGATCATTAGCCGGGTTTGACAATCGGTCGTTCGCTCCTCGCTAAGCACTACATTTCCTTCCACAAAATGATGCCTCCTGATAGTATTGGTTGCCATTTCCCCTTGGAGGCAAACGAGTTGTTATTGTGAATTGCGCTGCAGACACTCGAATGGCAACAATTAACAAGCCGCGACACGCACAGCCATACCTGAGCCGCGGCAATACGCGTCGTGACAACTCGTGGGAGATGATGGCAAGATGCAACAATACACGCGAATTAAATAAATATGCGTATCATCACACATTTCTCAGAACGCGACAACTTGCTCAATGATCAAGTGGGGAGGTGCTCAGCAGCTCTCCTGGCAGCCCTGAGGCAATGACAAAAATTTCACATTCCTATGACAGGCACCACTTTCTCCATCTATAATAATAATTTACATTTATAAGCCGCATTTAATCCATAGATCCCAATGCCCCGTCATGTATGGAAAGGAGGAAATAAACAGAACCTGCGGGGTAAACGGCCAGGACTAGGGAGAGGGGGACACTAAAGGCCAATTTAAAGAAGTGAGTTTTCAAGACAGACTTAAATCAATGGCTCTCACGACTCTGATTGTCTTGTTAGCAAACGCAAAGCATTGTTCAAGTGTCTGGGAGCTCCACAGTGCCAAGCGCCTGATCACCCCTGCAGGTACAGAGCCTTGTCCTCGAAGAACTTTAGCAGAAGGCGACCCGAAGATCTGGGGGACCATCGTTGGGAGTAAAAAAAAAATTGATCAGTTCCCACAAATATTGTGGAATCAACCCATTACGGGCCTTGTAGATCAGCAGCAGGATCTTATAGTCCACTCGATACTTGACTGCTAGCCAATGAATGCATTGACAAAGAGAGCGGGTTGTTATTCTTGGTTCTTTCGGTAAAGTCACGCAGAAGGTAAATAAAAAAAAATAAAACGTAATATTATATTTTATTTTATTATTTCCCTTCTCTACGTGACTTTACCGAAAGAACCAAGAATATAAATCCCTGCAGTCACGAAAGCTTTAAATCGAAAAAAAGAGAGCGGGTTGTATGATGCGCTGCTCACTCTAGCAGCCGTGTTCTGAACGGTGCTTAAGTCTACCCGCATGACTGGGAATCCCGAACAGCGATGCCTTGGGAACGGGAGTGGCGGTGAGGTGGTTAGCACACCATGCTTTCCGCACACTTGACCTACATTCAATTCCCAGTCGTGGCTAGGACCAGTAGAGCTTTTAAAAGTCGATTTTTTTTTTATTCTGACCTTCAAAACTCCAACCGCTACTTCAATTACAGCTATCACAAGGGAAGAAAAGAGGAAAATTCATATATTGATCTCAGATCACTCTGTCATTGGATCACTTGTAGCCGATTAACTTAGAAAACTGAAGTAAAAAAATCCACATCCACGTTTGGGTGTTTACATGCACCCGAGGAAATTCGACCTCGGAAAGATCAAAGTTTGACCGAGAAAGGTCAAACTCTGGCTTTGAAATTAAGACCACGCCCAGTGTCAAGATGCCTTCTCCATCCTGTAACCTTAGCACGTGGTCTCAATACATGCAATTTTGTTGCTGCAAAATGCTCTTTAAACGTCCTCATAAAAAGGACCCTTTCTCAAAAAAGTCTTGCCTCTGCAATTCCATTCGAATGTTCACCATCATCAGCCACGGTCAATCTGCTGTTGGATGAAGACCTTCCTGTGCCCTGTGTTAATTTCATTCTGAGGGGGTCCATGGATCCAGTCCAAACATTTTTACTTGTTGGTACCATCCTGAGATGGCAAATAATGAGTGGTACCAACGCGTTTAAATCGCTTACAAAAGCGATTTATGCAATAACCCTATTGAATACAGACTATGTTTTCAAATAATCCACACTTGAAAGCCACATCCAAAATGAGAGGCCAATGTTTTTGCTATTTCTTGCTAAATAAATGGGTCCTTTACTTGGAAAATTAAAGTATGAGTGACAAAATTCGATACTGTGCATTCACCAACAGTGGCTGCACGCTCATCAGTGGCGGCGTGCAGCAGCTGTGAGTATTTATTGGGCATGCCCTTTGAAACAGGAGATGGCTGTTTTTTAAGGACTTTATTTTCGTCCCATGAAGTGCACCGGTTAATACAGGAAAAGGAAAAACTTAAACCCACAAACAAAAAGCCATTCCCACTCATTGACACCAGGGGGTGACAAGCTCGCAAAGAATACAGTGGAGAACGCAAGTGCCATCTTGAAAAGTATGCACATTCAACGCGCCATATTAGAGGGCATGTTCCAAAAGTGTCCGCACGCTCTTTTGATGAGACGTGCACAGTGCTCATGTCCGTTAGCAGTCCCGAACCGGTGGGGTGTAAATTCCACATTCCTACGACGGGGACCGGTCTCTCCAAAGAAAAATCGAAGACTTTTCACGAAGGGCTGCAGACTCATTTTCTTGACCACAAAGGGATGACAGAGCCCCAAGTTGACCCTGGTCAGGAATTAATTGTACGTTGAATTTCTTTCGCAGTACGTAGCCAATCATGCAAATCATAGGTGCGGGGGAAGGACAACAAACTAAACACAAAAAGCAGTTGTAAAGAAACGAGTTTTCAAACTGAATTATTTAAAAGTGCATAGCTCCAGTGGCTGCCTAATAACGGAAGAAAGAGCGTTCCATACGGCCACAGAAGCGCATCTGAAAACACGCGATGCAGTGACCTTTTTTGTTTGATGGTTAGCCAAAAGCTGCTGCGAGGATGATAACCAGAAGCCATTGCAGCTTGGCAAGCACAAAGCCAAGTGAAGAGAATCTAGAATTCCACCAAATAATCTCTCTACATTGTGTCACTTAAGACTACAGAAGCTAAAATTATAAAAATGCTAAACGCACAAATCCACGGAGAAATAAACACCATTCATTTACTGCTATGGAAAACTTAAAACCTTCACTCCCACGCCTCCCAGAAGAGCACGTGTATAATTATCAGTACCCATGCCATATTATTTTTCCCCCCAGTACATTTAATTGCGCATTTTGAAAGAAACATTATTTTTATGACTTCCCATTTTGCTAAACGTGTCTCATTTTGGATAAGTTTTCCACTGTATTCCAAGAATCTTACGAAGTATGAATAAATAATAAATACAGGCTCATTCTTTAGCTATAAATGACAAAACAGAACTGGTGAGTTCATACAAAAACAGAATGATTCATCCGTTACACAAAAAAGAAAGGGTAGATGACACACAGCAAAGCTGGTAATCCAGTGCAAATTAAACAGACAATTGATATAAACAAAAACGAACGTAACAAATATCAGCAGCAGCCACCGCACATGGTCCCGCTATAACCATCTCTATAAACTTGTGGTGGAAATTAGTATTTTCCATGACAAGTATCAGTCTGTGCATGAACCATCATGCAAAATCCGGTCATCATCGCAGCTGCTTTTGGATAACCATCGAACAAAGACGGTCACTGCATCGCGCGCTTTGAAGATACGCTTCTGCGGCCTTCTGGAATGCTCTTCCTTCCGATATTGGGAATCCACTGGAGTATGCATTTTAAATATAGATTGAAAACTAATTCTTTATAACTTATTTTTGTGTTTAGTTTGTTGTCCTTCACCTGCACCTCCAATCAGCATGGTTGGCTACAGTGGGGAAGAAGTTCAACATACATACTACATGTACACAAAACCACTGCTATGTTCTACAAAGTGGTATGACTTCAACCCTAAAGCGATAACCCTCCCATACTGGTGGCTAATAGTTGAATAAAACCAGGCAATTGTGACAATTTTTACCACGATCATCAAAATTAAATGGTAATTTTTGGGTTAGATCGCGTAAATATAAATGTGTCGTTAAACCCACCACCATCCGGACACACAGCCAATCAGTAAGGTTTGTCACGTGAACAAGACGTGCCAATTAGTTACTAGTTCAGCACACCGGTAGTGTGTTGGAGAATAAACCCACGACATTTATATTTACGCGATCTCACCCCAAAAAAAAAAAAAAACCCTTTATTACGGATAACATTGGTCGCAAAAGCCTACGACGTGTTAAACGTGACCGCGATTGTTATTACTCGAGAGCCGTGCGCTAACGAGAAGGCGCGAGCAACGGGGGGGGGGGGGGGGGTATCTCGGTTACCTGCTGGCGGCTCCGCGCAGTCGCAGTCCTTGTCGGCGTCCTGCGCCTCGCCGGCCGCGGCGCTCTGGGCGGTGACGGCGCTCTGGGCGGTGACGGCGCTCTGGGCGGTGGCGGCGCTCTGGGTGGCGGCGGCGCTCTGGGCGGCGGCGGCGCTCTGGGCGGTGACGGCGCTCTGGGCGGTGGCGGCGCTCTGGGCGGTGACGGCGCTCTGGGCGGTGGCGGCGCTCTGGGCGGTGACGGCGCTCTGGGCGGTGGCGGCGCTCTGGGCGGTGGCGGCGCTCTGGCTGCGCGTGCCGACGGCGCCGCGGGCAGGCTGCTCCCGCGTGCCCGAGCGGCCCCGCTTGGCGCGCTGGGACGCCGCGTGGCCCAGCGGGTCGGGGTCTCGCGGCGGCGGCGGCGGCGACGTCGGCGGCGAAGTCGGCGGCGACGTCGGCGTGGGGCGGGGGACGTCGGCGCCAGGCGCCACCAGCCCACGCGTCCAGCCGCAGGGCTCGGCGTAGGACACCCACCGCACGAGCTCCAGCAGGCCTAGCGCCACGTCCTCCTCGGCCGCTATAAGCTCGTCCTGCAGCGAGGACACACGAGGGGGGCGTATTTTTCAACGTCATCGCGACCCATCGCCAGCACCGCCAACACCATGCGTTCTGTCATCGTCGTTGTTATGGAGACTCATCATCAGTGCCACTGTCACTGATGCATCACCAGCACCACCATGAATTCCATCATCATCATCATCATCGTCGTCGTCGTTATGGCGACTTATCATCAATATCATTATAACTAATACATAACCAGCACCACCACCACCACGAGTTCCATCATCTTCGTTACTCATAATGAATGTTACTGTCACTAACGCATCATCATCATCCATGGCATTGTCAGGACTGAAAATCAATGTAGTAAGGAATATTGCACAAGCTGGACCATCGCCATAATGGATTCCATAATGATAATTATTATCTACATCGTCATCACGATGCATCACCAATATCACGCACAAATGAATATTCATCCGTGGCATCATTATTATAATTATCATCACCATCATCGTCGTCATCGAAGTGTCTCCCAAATTAAATGAGCAAAGGCACAGGGCACATCACCACTCACGCGCAATCAAATCTTTAGTGAAAATTTGCATTGTCCCACGACGTATCAGTCTGCCCATGGAACAACCACTGGTGATGTCCCACTAAGTGTTACTACTTTACCGACCCTGAAGCGATGACAACACCCTCCCATACAGGTGGATAATAGTAGAATAAAACATTCAATTACTCCTACTCAAGCAATCGTCCCCAGGTGAAAAGATAGAGCGCTATATTTTTTCACCCGAGGACGATTGCTTGTGTTGCGATCAAAACGTCGTGATTTTTTTTACTATTTTTCTATCTACGTGACTTCACCGAAAGACCCAAAGAGTTTGAATTCCTGCAGCGGTCACGGAAACTTTTAAGTCAAGATTCAATTACTCGTAACCTTCGAGTACCACCGGCCGATCACGATCATTATTACCATGATTAACGGCAGCAATACAGCGTGAAAATACTGCCCGTCACCCGTCGCAATTCCCTTAATGACAAACATCATCATTAACAACATCACGATTGATGCGTCAGATTAATGATAACTGCCATTACACCATCCACATTATCATCGTGGCCATTATTATCTTATACATAGCTTGTTTGCCCATCCAAGGACGGGTATATATCTGCGGTACATCGGAAATATTAAATAGAGAAATTGTTCAGCTCATGATTATTAATGTACCATGTGGAGTGACGTCACCCGCTAATGGTTATTGGGGAGGGGTGCGGCATGTGGAGTGACGTCACCCCCTCATGGTTATTGGGGAGGGGTGCGGCATGTGGAGTGACCGTCACCCGCTCATGATTATTAATGGATGGGGGGGGCCTCATGTGGAGTGACGTCACGCACGGGACACACACATTCCTTGGCTTATTATATGAGTAATGGGCGACGTTGCCCGTTTTTCACAGCGCTTGAAGAAGTGCCACTGTCAGAAACGTCGCCTATTATATATATTGCCTGGTAAGGCGGTGTTATTGACAACGTGTTTAGATACTTCTTGCTTGTGCACCACTGCCAATGCAGCATTACCAAATAACGTGCTCTCTTTACGATGGGCATCGTCATCACTTTGCTCATTTTATTTCAACATCACAATCGGTGTCATTCTTTACTCTCATTCTCGGTATTCGGGGAGGAGGGGGGGGGAAATTTTTTTTCATGAATGCTGTTGCGGGTGAAACACTCGCAACGGAAAGGCTATATTTTATTTACGTGCGAAACAGCACTTATCTATTTATACATGTGACAAGCTGAAGCCAGGGCACCCGTAGAATACCCAAACTGAGACCTGAGTTGATATCTTAGTAGATAAGACTGCAACAGTCGTTGTGTCCATCCCATAGGTACGTGGATCCCCACTCCCCCACATCCACGTTGATCAGTTTAGAATTTGTACATATTACCCTGGAGCATGCCAACCAAACCGACTGCCTGATGACGTTCAGGTGTTCACTCCCTGGCGACCCGACTGACTACCTGATTAAGTCTCGTTTTGCTACCAGATAAAGCATTGCATTTCAGAATAATGCGGGCATATGAGGTTGTACTTCTTTGGTATTGCATAAGCTTAGGATGGCTCACCATTTGCCCAGGACAAACCTGTTTGACTGGACAACAACTTGACTGCAAGGCATGGACATGGCTGGATAACTGAACAGGAATTAAATGCCTCTTGGGATAGGCCATATATCTACTGCCAGGCTACGTATACATTACATGTATATTGACTAATGTGTCGAGTGTTCTTTATACCAAGAAAAGAGGCAGCCAGACTTGGCCAGCTACACAGTGGGGCAAGTCTCAGGCTGGCCGTCCTCTCTATGCCATTCTACGAATGCAACAATGAATGTCAAAACCGATCCAGAGTTGTCTTGTGTTAGAACGGCGCTTTTTTGGCGTCCTCTGGTCTAGCACCGTTTGAGGCGAGGCTCAGAAGAAAGCTGTCTCTGGCGTGGACCAATCAGTTTCAAAGACAATGCATATATTATCAGAGTATGTTTTTTGTTTGCATTCTGACCACAAGTTTTGTGGTTAATGCAGACATGATTCCTTGTAAAATGGTTTCAGTTTTGTTGCCAGAGAAAAGGGGGAAAAACCTATTATTTTTTTAAAAACCTCTCTATGTGGGCTCTGCCATTTTCCTCTTTAGGTGCGGCTCCGCTATTCATTAGGCCGCCCCTTACTAGAAATCTGTGAAAAAGAGCTTTATAGCTCATTGGATTCCTCCAGTATAAATGATTATTCTGAGGTCCCACCCCTTCCCTGATTTGCTAATGATTCCCTGAGTTACTTCCCAACAGCTGTGTGAATACCGTGAGAGTGAGGGCTCCACGTCAAACAGAGCCAAGTTGTTAAATCTACATTTATAAAAATCAAAATTTGTCTGTGGGTTTGTGTGTGGGTTTGTTTGTGTGTTCGCGCGCCTGCCAAGGATTTGGCTCTCCAACGGTGGGGTTTACGGAAAATAAAAATAGCCAGGTACCACCCTTTAAGCCCCGCCGTGAGCAAGCGCTATTCCTTTTTCACATCTGTCAACTTTAAATTAGTTTAATTAGCGATTTAGTGCAATTTCTGCGCTTTTATTTATTTACTTATGACGCGTGCACGGCCATACCAACTCGCGTGCCTTTGGTGGGGAGGACGGCCCATGGCAATTCGCACGACTTTCATTGGGGCATGTCTAAAATGAATCAATGTTTTCGCATCAAAATTCGAACCTCCGACGAGCACGGTTGGCTAGGTACGGTGCGAGAGACGCTCAACATACACATGTAAAAAAATCAGGCCTCAGGCGTCATGGTGTACATTGCAGTCTCCAACTCTTGTTATCCACTCTTGTCTCTGGCGTCTCGATGCATGTGCCATGAGGAAGGGCCATTGCCCAAAACGTCGTCCATTAGATACTTATCCTTTTAAGGGCACAGTGTTAAGGACGATGGTGTTGAGTTGTTTTTTTGTTATTTGTGCTTGTGCTCAACTGCCAATGCTTGTGACGCAGTCGAATCACCGAATAATGTTTCATCTGTGTGCAGTTAACATGTGTGTGTATGTATGTATGTTGAACTTCTTTCGCACCGTACATTGCCAACCGTGATAATCGAAGGTGCGGGGGAAGGACAACAAGCTAAACAGAAAAAATCAGTTCTAAAGAAATTAGTTTTCAATCTAGATTTAAAAGTGCATAGCTCCAGTAGCTTCCTAATATCGGAAGGAAGAGCGTTCCAGACATCCACAGAAGCGCATCTGAAAACGTGCGATGTGGTGACCGTCTTTGTTCGATGGTTAGTAGCCAAAAGCTGCTGCGAAGGTGACCAGAGTTCATGTGATGATGGTTTTTGCTCCTTGACAAGATCAGCAAGGTATTGTGGTTCAAAGCAATATGAATAGGCAAGTTTGTTTAAATGTCAGTAATAGGCCACCCACTCAGCATTCCACAATGTCCTCATTTCTATTTGGCTCATCACAGATTATGCCAATGTTTGCACAAAAATGCTTTGTATTTCAAAATCATGCAACGAAATTCTCCAACCACATGTTTTTAAATGACAAACGCAATGTTTGAAAAACATGTACCCCAAAAAGGAAACAAACATTTTATGGTTTTTTGAAGCAATGAGTCGCTTAAAAGTTTTCCAAATAAATCACATTCAATGGTATTCAAAACTTCACAATCTGGCCAAAACTGCGTTGATAATAGTAACGTAAAATATTCATTTACCTGAACCAAAATATGTCAGTGATTACCTTTTGTACTCAATGTCGCTGTGTTGTTCTGCAAGAGACTTTAACAACAACAAAATTGGGAATTGTGTAAAAATACATCTGTAAGTAATTATATATTTACCAGTTATTGGCAAAGGAAAATGCTGTGTAGCCACACTTTAGCCAGGTTTGGTCTCATCGGTCACAAACCCACGTTCCGCTCTATTGTTTTGGACTGGCCCGACAGTCATTGTGGTTTTCGAAGCGACAGCCATCATCATTAATACACTACATCGATAGATGTAAATCAGCTCAAGCCTCCTGCAAATCACGTGACTTCTGTGTGCCCCCCCCCCCCCACCTTATCTCTCCACCCTCTGTGAAAACAGCTGTTACTACTCGGTGCAGCTCACATCTACTCCCTCTTTCCTCCTCACCTCCGCTCATCACCATCCTCTCATCCGCGACAGCTTGGCTCGGTCATTCCTTCTCCCCCTCGTCTCCTTCCTGCCCAGTGCTCCCCTCTTCCTGCTGCTCATCTCGAGCCGTGTCTTCTCTGTCTGTCTTCAGTCCCCCTCCCGTGGTGAACCACAGCTTAAAGGATTCGCGTATAACATGTTATTGGTTTATTTATCCGTACGCTCATTTTACCCTTGCTTCCAGTCGTTTTTTGGAGTTTTTGTCAGGTCACATGGTGAGTGTCCTTCTCGTGTCTCAATGTCCTTTTTTTCCTAGGTTACCAAATTCATGTCATCAACGATTAGG